AAATAGTGATTTAACCTTAATGTTATCAGAAACTCCAGAGTATATTAACATACTAGGAAGTATGTTAAGGGAGGATTAATTCAGATAAAGTAAGCTCAATCTTCATTGCACGTGAGGAGGGCAGGCAGGGTTTCATTCTTGATCTTGGCCATTTATGAAAACTACTTTGAAGAATTTTCAAATTTGCATTTTTCTTGCCATTGTCTGATTTTTGATACTCAGAAAAAATGGACTACCTGTGAATCTAGTCTTTCGTGTGTCTGCTAAAAGGCGCTCTGTCTCCTGCTGGCAGAGCTTCATTCTCAGAGCTCCAGGGATAACAGAGGGCAGGAACGAAGGCCTGGCGGGTTGGACAAGCCAGGAATGCAGCTTCACCAGAGAAGGCATGGGTGGATCACTAACTGTCACCTCCATCCAGTCCTATCAGGCACTTCATCTGTTTGGTTTATTGGCGGCCATGAGTCCTACCTAGTAGCAGGAACTTTCGGTCTTTGTTTTTGCTCCTTTTGCTCTTTTCTGATCATGTCAAGTTATGAGACCCTGATGTTAGCCAGAGAGTGGTATAATCACATTTAGGTTGTAACACTGGCAGCAGAGTATGACAGACTATGGAAAGGAAAACTTAAGGCAAAGAGACCCATTAAAAAGCTCCAAGAGTCATGAGACGATTTGGGCCTAAACCAAGGTTGTGACAGAGACGGTAGAGAGCAGGGCAACAGTTCCAAAATGTAGCTGTTAGGGTGTGTAATTTGGTTAACTTCAGGAGATGTGTGCCAGGTATGGAGATCGAAATTCAGTAGGTAGAAGCCCCTCTAGGAAAAAAACAATTCAGATCTGAACTCGTAGGACAAGAAGTAATAGGGGAGACTCTTGTGTATAAAAAGTGTTTTCATTACTTATCTCTTTTAAATCTTTCAAAAAGCTCTCTGAAGTGGCTAGTGTAATTATTTATCTGCTAACCAGACACTGTTCATGGGGCTAAGCAACTCATTCAAAATTAGACAGGGAGCAAGAGAGAGAACTAAAACTCAGGTCTTCTGACTTGAGGTTGAGTGTTTTTTACTGTACCATAACCTAGCAAGGCATAATTACATATTTACCCTTGCTGGAGACTGAATGGTTACACTTAGCCCAGAGGATCACAGGATAAATTTAAAAATCCAGTAAACAAGTCTGAAAAGTAAGGACTTACACTGCCATCTCAGCTCATGAAGGAGGAGGGTTAATGACAAAAAAGGTGTTTGAATGGTTTGGGTTAGACTGTCATTTGAACATTATAATTACTGGGGTTCAGGAGATAAGCAGTGTCAGTATCCGTGATCTAGACAGAAAGTAAGGCCTTGCTGCCTATACAAAGCAGTTAATTCCTTGCCTGATTCATTTCAATGCAAACACAAATACTATACCTCTGGAAACCATTTGCCGTGTCCATATAATTTTAAATTGTCAAGCTTTTTTTGGAATACATTCATGGAGCGCATTAAATCAGCTATTTTGCTTTGGGAGATATAATTTTATATGTTCTACTGCTCTACTGAAATGCCATACTGCATTTCTCAGCAGTCTTCATTGGCTAATAATTCAATTATAAACACAATTCATTATTTTCATGTTAGATTAGAAAGCCTTTTGCACTGGCTTGAGCTATCTTCCCAGAGCAAATGGGTCAGTTTATAAAAGGCCAAACTGCAGGGTGGAGCATTGAGACTATGAAGCATCATATAAAATTTAACCATATTAAATGGAAATCTGCTTTACAGCAAGCTGGTTATCAGCAGCTCAGGGCAGCTAAACTTCCCAGATAAAGGCTGGTGCATGACAGCTGGGAGGGGCTCATGTAGTAGTCCCTTTTTCTCTATTTCTTCACCCTGTTTTATAATCTGTTGTCTTTAGTGCATTTCCTCTGCGGCGTTTTCTTCCCTGTCCCCTAGTGAGCAGAGGTCGCTCTATCTCTGTGATGCCTTCCCTGGGTCTTTTGTAGATTCTGGGCCGGCTCTTTTCAGGCTCAGCTGAAACCACTTGCTTCTATTTCTTTCTTTTTCTATGGTATAATTTTTATAAAGGGGGTTATAAGAAGCAAGGCAGAGATTTATGGGATGAATTATCTACTGATAGATAACATCAGAAATGGGCAGACGAGAACCACTCACTTACATGGGCACAAGCAATTTTTGCCAGTATTAATCAAATGTCTTCTGATCAATCAGTTGGATGGTCTCCTCTCTGCATTTTAAATCTCTGAACATTGATTCATCATTATGGTAACTTTACTGATATGCATGGAAAACAAAATTGTTCAGGTTACTCCTCTTAATAGTCACTTGGCATTGAATTTCAACTACTACACCAAATTTATCTTCCACCAAGTGTCACAGCTCCAAGGCTATCTGGTCCAGCAAATCCTGACAAAGTCTCAATTTACTATCAAGGTCTGATGCCTCAATATTTCTATTTCATTCTAAATACACTGCTCATTTTCTAAATTTTTAACATGTACCCAGTCTTTGGCGTATATAAGACCAACATTCAAGTTTACCCAGAAATGGAAAGCATTTCTGGTTTGATTTTGATAATTATATCACAGTGTGTTTTGTTTTATCTGGAATAGTGACTTCTGGATAGCTATATAGATTATTCCATAAATGACTTAAATACTTTACAAGAAGAAAAATTAATTCTTTAATATTTGGTATAACATCATCATTACAACAGAAAATCTGACTAGCAGAAATTAGGCAAATTGCGAACTTAAAAATTAACCTTTTAATATCAATGGATTATTTTAGTTTATTAGACTCATCACTTTTTTTAAAAAGAAATATTGAAACCTCTTTAAAAAAAACAGTAAATATAAGAAACAGACTCAAAATTATTTGGCAGTGTTTTTTTTTTAAGCAATTATCTTTTCCTTTTGATTTTATTTATTTATTTATTTGAGATTTTATTTATTTATTTGACAGACAGAGATCACAAGTAGACAGAGAGGCAGGCAGAGGGGGCAGGGGGAAGCAGGCTCCCCCCTGAGCAGAGAGCCTGATGCGGGGCTCGATCCCAGGACTCTGGGATCATGACCTGAGCCGAAGGCAGAGACCTCAACCCACTGAGCTACCCATCTATTGAGTAGAGAGGAGTTCCAAGGAGTTGGAAGGTTTTTATAGAGGCAGGGTCATTGGGGCAAGAAAGTTGTTAACAAAAGAAAAGGATTATTCTAGGTGAGGCTGCTTTCTGGGGGGAAAAGCAAGGTGTCATCATGCAGATGATCTCATCTTTTTAGGGGGAAGGAGAGGGTCCAAGTGGTAGACTCATAGGTGTAGACTGAAAAATTCCTAGCTGACCTTTTTAAGACTAAATTTCTGGGGGAGGTTGAAACTGCAATTAGATTATGTATATTATACACTAGTTTGGGAACTTGGGCCAAGTGACACCATTTGGGGCCTGTGGTTGGTTGGTTGGTTGGCTGGTTGGTTGGTTGAACTTGACAATTCATTAACAAACTAAATCAATGTTGATGTGGTACAGTAAAACTGAAATTTGGTTAAAGAAATAATTCCTTGACTTTCAGAATTAGCTAATCTTAATAAGCCACTTTTACTATCTCAGTATTTCTTTAAACTTGCTTATTTGGTAACTCTTAGAGTACTTTGAAAATAAACTTGATAGTCATGTAATAAGTATTTTTATATGTTAAAATGCAATTTCCCTTATTTTTTAAATCAAGGTAGAGTCTTTCAAGAGCTAAACTAGTTCTACACCCTTTTGAAAACTAAATTGTGTCTATGAATCCCCTACAACTTATTTTCTATGGTAAGAGTGGTCTGAAATCTCCATGGCTTTCAAAATAACCAAATTTGCACCAGTGAGAATCTCTAATTTTTGTCATATTTATCAGCTCTTTATTAATATATGCTTATTAAAATTATATTCTATTTGTATTGTAATTTTCCCATTTAAAGATATTATCCTTGGTTTTAAAACTTAAAAGAATCACAATCTTTGTTAACTGCAATATTGAGTAGATTTCTCCCATCACAGGACAAGACAGAATAAGTTCTTGATGAAACGTCTTCTGAACTAGGCTATTTCTAGGAAATTAAGCAATCTCTAAGCCATCCTCCAGAAATCTTTACTTGATCTAGAATCCCAAAAACTTCAAATTAAACTAGGAAAACACCTTTCCTTCAGGAATCCTCCAGATTCTTAGAATTTATATATACAAAGGACTTTGGTGTAGAGTGGGCAGCCAGAGGCCTAAAAACAGGAACTAATTTTAAGAAAACTATATGATTATTGAATTTGCAACTTGGCTATGGCATGACAGATTTATTATTACTATTACTATTATTATTATTATTATTACTATCATTAGTATTATTATTACCATTAGCATTGGAAGAGGAATTAAGAATTCTGATTATCCTCAAATACTGAACAGGGATATCTCCTCTGATCGCTCTCTTCAGAAATATTCCTTTAAAATTCTTCTTCCCTCCATTGAATGTTATTTCCTCATTGGTAGTAATATAAGACTTATTTTTCCTTCTCAAATTAATATATGTACAGGAGGAAACTAACATTTATCAGTCAAGATTTATTTTTGTCACACTTTACAAGTAAGGCATAAAGAAAGAAAATCTCAGTGTATTTCCTCCAAGGACAATAAACTGTACCTCACTGCTGTTATTCAACAACTTAAAAAATAAGGGATGTTTTAAATAGGGGGAGGCACTTCTTATCAATAACAAATTTCATTTGATAAAGATAAATTAAGCAATACATGCATGCAATCTAGCAAAAAAATGAGAGAGAGAGAGATCGGAACAATTTATTGATGAAATGAACTAATACAAAATATATAAATTGCCCATGCATTTGGAACTGAGATTATAAATTATTTTCATAATCAACTAAGGTGTGATTAACATTTTAGAACAAAGGTTATTTAACATTTAAACACAAAGGTTTCTCCATGAATTACTTTGGATTTATAGAATCCCTCTTACCAGCATTTCTTTTGAAGCTGCACTTTATGAAAGATGAGATGTTCAAGCACCTTATTCAGCTGAGGACTATTCTTCTGAACACATGACCAGGCAGCAACACAGTGCCAGAGCAGGTGGTTAACTTCATATCCTCCCTGATTAAGTTGCAAATGTTCCTGGAATTAAAACATAAAAATATATCTGGAAATGAGCTATTTGACTTGAATAAACATGAAAATAAACTTAAAATATTCAAATGAAAATGCATTATTTTCTTAAATTTCATGTTACACCAAACAGAGCAACTTACTTAAGTATATTTTTGTAAATATATATAGTGTGAGGGAAGAAAAATAATTTTCCATCTACCCTTCCAGGTTCTTGGCTGAGACCTTTGCACCCCCTGTAGTAAAGGACAGATTAACAGGAGAAAATCAAACATAAGTTTAATAACATGTATACCTCCTGTACGCATGGAAGAGACCCAGGAATACTTTTCAAAATGGCCCAAGACATTATCTTATATAACTTCTCTAGCTAAAGACAAAAGGGGGATGTGCAGTTATGGATGTTAACAGGAAAAGCCTAGTAAACAAGGGTAAGGTTGTTATGCAGAATTTGTCATTGCCTTCTCAAGTTTCTAGAGATTTAGCGTCATCCTTCTCTTAGTACAGAGGGAGACACCCAAAGGAATGGACACCTCTTTTAAAATGTAAATATCTCTTACAAAAAGGGTAACTTTTACTCAGTTTTCACAGCTTCTCCTATGCTTGTGATTTCTTAAAAATAATCACCCCAAAATAATCCTTATGCCAAAGAGTCCTATTTGGGGGCAGCAAATTTTGATTCCCTTCGATTGTTAACCTGAACCTAATGTCTTAATTGCTTTTCACATGGGTCCCTTGTGTTCAATGATATCAGTTCTACACTATGACAAAAATCCTATGTCCCCTACAGGACAATTATTAGAAAAATCGAGCTTCTTAGACCCTATATGACTTCGTTCTTCCTGACACCCAAAGAGGAGGGGACAGGGAAAAGTCTGAACAATGATCAAACAGCAAATTAGTTTTAAAATGTGGATTTCCACTTTAAGGGCAAATATACATGCTTACCTGGACATGGTCAATGTCTACTAAGTAACTATTTCAAAAGTCTACAAATTCAGGGGGAAAATGGGCTGTTGATTCTTTGTTTTTTCTTGAAGTGCTTCCTAACCCTTTCATAGATTTAACTGGTCTGCTAAAGTTAGGGGTATGAAGAAACCTGATTTTATTGTTAGACAGTGATAACATAACTCATTTAATTGTTTCCAACAGATTCGAGTACACATCTTGTGATATGTATTTAATATTTCGTTCTTTTATGTTCACCTTAAGAGAGACTCCAAAAGGGTTTATAATTCTCATTTATTATACAAACAACATCAGATATACAACTTAAAAGATAATTGTCATGTTAAGTATTAAGTTGAAAGGCCAGATTCATATATAAATTTTAAACTAAGATATATTAAGTTTCTAGTAAACTGTTTAATTAAGTCCCACACATGTGTATTGATCTATTTTTTATGTTGGCAACTCAGATGCTAGAGATAAAAGTCATGAGTAAGATAAAGTTTCTGTACAAGGCTCCCGACTGTGGGAAAAAAATCACTCAGAAAGGTAAATGAAAACAAGCCAATGTTTAGAGTATTAGAATATTCCATAGAAAAGCTTTATTTTAAAATGGTGTAAGACAGTGGCCTGGGTGGCTCAGTTGGTTAAGCTCCAACTCTTGATTTGGGCTCGGGTCATGATCTCAGGGTTTTGAGATCAAGCTCTGAGATGGGCACCATGCTCACTGTAGAGTCTACTTGTCCCTTTCCTCCCCCTGCTTGTGCATTCTCCCCCCCCCCCCTCTCTCTCTCCAAAAAAAAAAAAAAAAATTCTAAAAAAAAAAAAAAAGTTAAGAGGGCTCTTTTAGCACAGTTTCAAACACTGAGCAGAGCATTAAATGACTCCCAGAGAACTTTTCTTTGTCCCCCTCCCTCCCTCCCTCTTTCCTTCCTCTCTTCCTTCTTTCCTTTTTTTCTTGGCTTTATGACCACTTCCTACAGTTCTTTAATCTTCTTGCTTTGCTGCCCAGCTTGGGACTATGCTCCTTTGCAAATTGGATCCTTTACACAGAGGCCAAACAGATATTAAAGAAAGAGACAGACCACTCCAGATTGGTAGGTGATAGGTCTAATAAGCCAGGGAACTTAGTTAGAAAGCCTATCTTGGGTGACTGCAAGACGAGCAAACCTCTACGCTCACCTGAATCCTAAGGTTTATAGGAGGCCTTAACTGGGTTCAGACACTTATACCACCCAGATGATCCCAAGAACACCTTGCTTTTTCAGGGCTACATCCTTGACATGGCTCCAGCTGTGAGAACAGTGAGCAGAACATGCATCCCAGGGAGAAGCCTCGGATTGCCCAGGTCCAGCTCATGAGTCAACCAGTGGCCCCAACCTCTCGATTATGTCCTTGAACAAGCTATCAGTTACAACTTGTACAATATGTATTTTGAGAAGTCCACCTACAAAAGTGCTATTAACCTAGTGTTGGCTGAAATTTCAGATAACCACATCAGCTTGAATTTTATACAAATTTGAGTACACAAGCTCTGAATATCAGACCAGATGCTCTTTTAAAACAGAAATGAGCCTTGAAGAATGGGATGTATTTTGGCTATTCAGAGATAGCTTTTTGAGCTTCACCCTTGTTTTCAATCATCTGGGGGTTGGTTGACATTATCATAAAAGGACCTCTCAACACAAATGTGCAACTTAGATAATAGGATATGAATCAGAATAATGCTTCTAATTTTAAAGAACCTGTGTCTCAATCTAACCCCATCTTAGTAACCATGTACAACTGCAGTATAGCACCAAATGTCCCATATTTAGATGACTTTGGCTTCCCGAGTACTTAAAGCATTAGAGGATGAGACTGCTAATCACACTTGAAGGTAAACTCTGTGTGTTTCCTAGATTTCAGAAAACTACTTGTAGTTTAGGACAGATGCAGCTATTTAGTAAAGGGTCTACCACATTTCAGTTGACCTTCATCTACTATCTCCAAAAAACTATGTTGTTATTTTCATGGGACAACTGTACTCAGCAAATTCAGCTCTGCTAGTGAGCAACATACAGAGTGGAAAACTCAATCCAGTTTTCTGGCTCTGAAAGCCACAGAGCTAATTAAAGTGCACCATTTGTCAAAGTCAATGGAAACCTTGCATCTGGATCAGCTTTGAAGGATATTAAAAGAAGAAATGGGTTCTAGCACCAGGGAAAGGAAGTTTCCTATGCTTAAATAGAACCAAGACCCATACCGTGTGTATCCTAACATGTACGGAATTCTTTATCTTTTCAGCAATTTTATGGCAGCACTTGGAAAACAAATTAAATGCTTGTGCTTTTACTCCAATGGTGATAAGTGTACTAAAAATAAAGTATTTTGCAGTGGTCAAAATATGCTGTCACGGACCTTTTAGCATTACCGGAGAATGAGGGCTATAGGAATAAATCCTCAAATCCTCCAATGTGGCATGTCAGTAACAAAAAAAGGAGGGGGATGAATACAGATGTATTGTTTATACTCCCATTTTCCTCTCTGATTCTTTCTGTCTTCTCCCAGTAGGTGAGAGAGATGGGTACTGAATGGGTAAGTACTCAACTGAACTGGAAAAGCTGGCTTAGACCAAGCTATACTGAAGAAATTGAGCTGAAACTGGGGAACAATGTTCAAACATGTAATCAAGCACTGAATTAGTTACCTGAACCAGAAATTTTAGCAGCATTGTGGCTACACTACCTTTCCAATTCTTTCTATTGTGTGGAAATTAGAGGAGAAAACGGAGAACAGTAAATCTGATATGCTAAAATCTGTTATAATCCCCTCACAGAATCAGAGGTATAGAGCTGAAATAGAACTTAGAAAAGATTAAAACTATGCTCTTTGTTCTTCGTGGAAAAAGGCACAGACTTAGTGACTTGTCCCACACTAAGCAGAAATTATTTTTTTTTAATTTTTAAAAATTTATTTATTTGAGAGAGAGAGAGAGCTCAAGACCGAGGGACAGAGTGGGGCTGGGGTGGACAGAAACAGACAGAGATGGACAAGACAATAGCACAGAGACAGACATGGGGCTCTATGACCTAAGCCAAAACCAAGAGGTTAACACTTAACTAACTGAGCCACCCAGGCACCCCTAAGCAGATACATTCTTCTCATGTGTTGACATTTTGCCCCTTCCAGCTCAGGCAAAGCTGTACTGTAGGAACCTTCCATTTCCTTGTAGTGATAAGAACATAGATTTCTTTCTTTTGTTTTTTAGATAGCATCTTCTTTTTTAAAAAAATGTAATAATTTCAGAGGGAGAATTTAGTGATTCATCAGCTGCAAACACCACCACTCATTACTTCAAGTACCCTCCTTAATGTCCATTACACAATTACCCAATCCCTCCAGCCAGCTCCCCTTCAGCAACCCTCAGTTTGTTTCCTATAGTTAAAAGTATCTTATGGTTTGCCTCCCTCTCTGTTTTCATCTTATTTTATTTTTCCTTCCCTTCCCCTCTGTTCATCTGTTTTGTTTCTTAACTTCCACATATGAGTGAAATCATATGGTATTTGTCTTTCTCTGACTTATTTCACTTAGCCTAATACCCTCTAGTTCCATGTTGTTGCAAGTGGCAAGATTTCATTATTGCCGAGTAATAGCTTTTTGATGGCTGAGTAATATTCCACTGTAGTTATATACAATGAACATTAGGGCTCTTTCGATAGTTTGACTATTGTGGACATTGCTGCTTTAAACATTGGGGTGCATGTGCCCCTCTGAATTGGTACCTTTGTATCCTTTGGATAAATACCTAGAAGTGCAATTGCTGGGTTATAGAGTAGCTCTATTAAATTTTTTGAGGAAGCTCCATACTGTTTTCCAGTGTGGCTGCCCCAGTTGGCATTCCCACCAAAAGTGTAAGAGGATTCCCCTTTCTCCACATCCTTGCCAACATCTGTTGTTTCCTGAGTTGTTAATTTTAGCCATTCTGACCCATGTGAGATGGTATCTCATTGTGGTTTTGATTTGTACATCCTTGATGCTAAGTGATGTTGAGTATTTTTTTCATTTGTCTGTTGGCCATTTATATGTCTTCTTCGGGAAAGTGTTTGCTGCTTTCTTTTGGAGTATATGTGAGAGAAGGAAATACATATGACCCAGAGATCAAAGTTTGTTTTTTGAGATATATCAGCCTATAATGTATGTGAACAATTATATGGCTCACTGTAGCTCTATTTGCATAATACATAGTTTATTACATACCAAGGAATTCCATGATTGGGACAGTTTAATGTTGATCACTAATATCCAAGTTAGAAATTAAAAAACACTTTTTCACATACTAGGGATTATTTTATTTCCTCAATTCTGAACCATTTAAAAACACTTCAGTAGACTTTAATAGCACTTTAAATGTTATTACATATGAGTTATGGAAGCATCAAGTATTACAATTGCTGTCATTAATAGCCTGTACTTTATGCACTTTCCTTTTAACACAAATATAATATCTTAAAATCCTCATTTATAAGTTAATCTAAATTACATTGTTATTTCCAATTATACAGCTGAGATGAAATGTATAAGGAAAAAGGTATTATGACATTACTCTATTTAAAGTAGTAGTAGTATATATTGATATCTCACTACTAATACTATTAACTGCTGTCCAGGAAATGTGCATATGGTTTAGTGTTTTTGCTATATGAACCTCTTGCCCTATCCCCACCACCAGCTAACCTCATCTTCACCAATGTTACTTAATCATATCAATAAAGCACAGTTACTTAATCATATCAATATTATCTGACTCATTATGCACTAGGATATACTCACCATATCAGAATCTATGTCCTTACGGCTTTTCTTGTTTTCCACAGGGCTAAAAATTGATCCAGAAAGGAGTTCTCTTTTATATATAATTTCCATGGTTTTCAGAATGAATTGCACATTTGAAAAGATGTTTGGATACTTGTGATATGAGTCTCCAGAGAAACAAAGTGCTATTGTAAGAAAAATAATTTGTGATAAATATTTCATTAGTATCTTGCATTGTATTTCATTTGTCTTTTAGTTACTAAAATATAATTAAATTCAATTCTTAGATGTTGAAACTGCTATACCTTTCCCCATCTAAGATTTATATGTTATGTATGACCCCTGCTGGCATAATAGGAAACTACAAGGTAAATAATGCATAAGAGTTAATATAATTCAGAACAGCAATTGCATAATGGTCAAATGTCCAATTAAGTATAGTTACCGCACAACAATGGTTGGAAACTTCCAGGTGAGTTATAACATACTCTATTCATAATAGATACTTAGAAACTGTAATCCTACAAACAAATCATCACTGTTAACCCTACCTACATTCTCTAGTTTTATTCATTTTCAAGATGTTACTGCTGTTGATTATTTTAAAGAATATATTTTAAGTATAGCTATAATTATGTCAACATAACACTAGGTGGTATTTAATAGAATTATCTTTATATTGTTCTTTTTATAGACTTTTAGACAATTTTTCAATTTCAATCTATTGACAGTTGAAAAAAAATGATAATAACTATTCTTTTACTGGATGGCTACATGGAGAGGAAGCAGATGCTAATGGCCCCAAGTAAAAATCATTATGTTGCTAAGGCTCTACTTAACAGTATTTGATAGAAGGGTAAAATCTAGGGATTTTATCCTTATATGAAACAAAGTTATTGGTTTTCTTGGGATAGATCTATAATAACAAGCTAATGTGAGATCTTGAAATTTTATTCATATTTTTCAAAATTTATTTGCCACTATCATCTGATTATTTGATGAGTCACTATGTTGAACACAGTGAGGAGTTAAAAAGAGGATTATAATGTATGAAGAAATCAAAACAAGTGATAGGACAGACATAAATTCTTATTCTACTAGTCTATAGTCTTGTCTTGGTTTCAAACTATCAGAATTTGTAGTAGTGTTGCAATTTACTGCTCAGTCTCCAAAACACTTCTACTATTATCTCCTATTCCCTCCTCCATGACTTTTTCCACCAAATATTCCCTTTCTTGTATCTTGAGTCTCTTTATCTCTTATCCTACAATATACTAATCTTTTCCTCTTTTGACCTTGTTTTTTTTTATTTAGTCCATTAACCAAAAAAGTTTATTTAAAACTAAAAAAAAAAAGTTTTTTGAAAAGACAAATTGACAAGCCTTTACTAAAATCAGAAATGAAAAGAGATGGAGCACCTGGGTGGCTCAGTCAGTTAAGCATCTGCCTTCAGCTTGGGTCATGATCCCAGAGTCTCAGGATCCAGCCCCACATCAGGCTCTCTGCTCAGCTTAGAGCCTGCTTCTCCCTCTGCCCCCACTCTGTTCATGCTCTCTTTTACTCTCTCTCAAATAAATAAAATCTTTAAAAAAAAGAGAGAGAGAGAGAGATATGAAGGGACATGTTACAATAGAAATACAAGGGATAAAAAAATTAAATACAAAAGACCATAAGAGACTGCTATGAAAAATTATACACCAACAAATTAGACAGCCTAGAATAAATGGATAAATTATTAGGAACATAAAACTGAAAAGACTGAATCAAGATAAAACAGAAAATATGAACAGAGTGATTATTAGTAAGGAGATTGAATCGCTAATCAAAAACCTCCCAACAAACAAAAGTCCAGAACCAGACAGATTCACTGATGAATTCTACCAAGCATTCAAAGAGAATACCATTCCTTCTCAAACTCTTTCAAAATACAGAAGAGCTTTGAAGGAACTCTTCCAAACTCATTTTACAAGACCAACATTACCTTACCAAAATCATACAAGAATGCCACAAGAAAAGAAAATTATAGGCCAATAACCCTGATGAACATAGATTTTAAAATCCCCAATGAAATATTAGTAAACCAAATCCAGCAAAACATTAAACAGATCATACACCATGATTAGTGAGATTTATTCCAGAGACACAGGATGGTTCAACATCCTTAAATCAGTCAATGTGATACATCACATTAACAAAATGAAAGCTAAAAATCACATGATCATCTCAATAAATGAAGAAAAAGTGTGTGACAAAAATCAACATCCCTTTATAATTAAAAGAACTCTCAACAAAGCAGGTATAGAGGGAATGTAACTCAACATAATAAAGGCTGCATATGACAAATCCACAGCCAATATATATTCAAGGGTGAAAAGCTGAAAGCTTTTCCTCCAAGATCAGGAACAAGATAAGGGTGCCCATTCTCACCACTTTTATTCAACATAGTCCTGGAAGTCCTAGCCAGACCAATTAGGCAAGAAAAAGAAATAAAAGGCATCCAAATTAGAAACAAAGAAGTGCAACTGCTTTTTGACCTTGTTTTTTCATCTAAACTATTGATCTATTTCTCTTTCCCTGTATAGCTAAGCTTTCTGTAATAGTTCACCATCTCTGTCTTATGCTTAAACTTTCCCTGTACTTTGTTTACCTCCAATCTGAATTTTGCTTCCACCTCTCCAAAGGGAACCCTCCCAAGAGCAACAGTGATTTTCTGCTTACAGAATCCCATCAACTTTCAGACTTCCTATTATTTAAGACTTCTATAGCTCTTGATGATGTTTATCTTCTTGAACCTCCCCTCTTGAGATTTCTATGTCATTACTCCCTTTTATTTCCCTTTACTGATGTATGGCACTCCAATTATCTACTAAATGTTTATGTTTCCCAAGCCTTTTCCTAGAATTAATTTCTCCACCCTCAATACCTCCCACCCCAAGCTTATTTCAGCCATCATAACATGGATGACCGTCAAATCATCTATGTCAGTATCTATGAAATAAGTGAATCCCAGTCTTTGCTTATTTCCCTAGTTCCAAATCTGTATTTCCGACTGCTCACTGTATATATATATATACCTGAGTGGCCTTCAAATTTCAACATGTCCAATGATTCTTCAAGATTTTTTCAGTGTAGAGTACCATTATCTTGACTGTATTTGTAAAATTTATATGTATTTGTAAAATCTGTATTTGTAAAATCTATATGTAAAATTTTAGATTCCTCTGGAATTCCTCATTTTCCCTTACATATAGCCTACATTCAATTGATCATCAAATTTAGTGTCTTTTTCCTCCTCAACATTTTTCAAAACTATTCTAGTCTATCTCATTCCCATTTTAAAAGTTCATAATCCTTAACATCTCCTGCTCAACTAATGTCATAACTAATTGGTGCCCTGCATCCACACTCTTCTTAATCTAGTTGGCATCTACATTGTCACTAGTATTACCTTACTAAACTTGAAATCTAGAGAGGTAGAAACTATTACAGATGAGGAAACTGAGTCACAAGCAAGGTCATGCACTTAGTTAGGTAGAAAAGTTAAAAGTAAAACCCACACAGTCTAGCCCAGAATCTGTGTTCTGCAATACTGTACTTATTACTTTTCATGAAAAATAAAAGACAGCTTATGTTCTTTATAGTGATAGTCTGAGCTACTCAAACCATAACATAAAACATTTATAAGTGTAGAAAATAAAAGATAGTCTACCGTACAAATATGGTTGAAGCCTAAATAAATGTTGCTTAAAACTTTCTAGGTGGCCATGCAGGAAATATATAAAAAGTCGTAAGAAGACCAAATAGCCAATCTGTCAAAAGAAAAAGAAAAAAGTATTTTTGTGTTGCATCAATGAACGTTTAGAAACTATATGGAAACTAAACCATTTTATTATTACATTTGCTTTTGATGAAACAATTTCAAACTCACTTGAGCTTATGTGCTTTTGAAATAACTTTAAAACATTTATATCAAGGTTGAAATACCGGTTCAGCCAAGAAAGTTTTATAAATCACCTCTACATTATATATAATGACCAATACTGAATGCTATTTTGTTCCATATCCTACAGAACAGTATTTTTCAAATTGCAAATCATACCCCTTAAGTGACTCATGAAATCAATTGAGAGGGGATTTTTAAACAAAAGAAAAGAAAAGAAAATATCATAGTACACTGCACAGTTCCTTGTTTCGGTATATAAATCAGTGCATATTATGTGTATGCTGGATTGCAATGCAAAAGATATTTCTTTCTATGAGTCTCAGTCAAAACAGTTTAAAAAACATTTCTTTAGATAGTTTTGAGAAATACTGTGCTTGGGATTCCTTATGAAAAAAAGTCATTGTTAAATAAACACTACTATCTTACCTCTGTGAAGTTTCATGTGTAGCAAACTTGTTTTACATAGAATACAAAAAATGAAATGTGTGCAAAAATATATGATGTGCGAAATTTTCACAGAATATGAGAAAAAAAAAACACAAACTAAAGAAATAAATGGAACACAAATTCCGAAATCGTTAAATCATAAGATTATGGAAAAAACAAATAAAACAATATCACTATCAAGATACATGTAGTCCAAATCCTCCTAACAACAATGCAGGGTACTACTGTCAGATCTACACGTAAAAAATAATAATAATAAAGTAAAAAATATGATTCTACAAGTCTCAATGACTCAACCAAGACAATTTTTTTATAGATTTTATTCATTTATTTGACAAACAGAGATCATAAGTAGGCAGAGAGGCAGGCAGGGGGTGGGGAAGCAGGCTCCCCGCTGAGCAGGGGGCCCAATGCAAGGCTCGATCCCAGGACCCTGAGATCATGACCTGAGCTGAAGGCAGAAGCTTAACCCACTGAGCTACCCAAGCGCCCCCAACCAAGACAATTTAACAAAGAAATGGCATGACTGAACTTTGAGCCCAAGACTGTGCTGCACCAAAAGTCATGAACTTTCTATTATAGCAGAGATTTCCAAGTACTTTTATCACAAAATTCTATTGGTAAAATAAATTCTGAGAATGCACCATCAATATTTATAAATGTATCTATATATTATAAATATCCACCATTTATAGATTTAAATAAAAAGAAAACATTTATAAAGCATATCCAAGGGATCTCTTCATACAGACCACTTTGATAAAGTACAATGCTTCTCTAAGAGATTGAAGTTATATGGGAAGTGGAAATTGTCATATCATTTAAAAGAATACTACAGTACTCTAAGTGTGAATATTAAAATAAAAATACCCCTCGTTATAGACAATGGATGAAAATTAATCAAAAGGGAAATAATTTGCAAGGATTAGAGATGGATGTTGAAAGGAAAATTCATGTTCAAGAATTTCACATCTGACTGGGTGGCTCAGTGGGTTAAAGCCTCTGCCTTCGGCTCAGGTCATGGTCCCAGGGTCCTGGGATCAAGCCCCACCTGGGCTCTCTGCTTGGCAGGGAGCCTGTTTTCCTCCTCTTTCTCTGTCTGCCTCTCTGCCTACTTGTGATCTCTGTCTGTCAAATAAATAAATAAAGTCTTAAAAAAAGAATTTCACATCATACAAAATAGAAAAATACATGAAAAACAGATCATTTTGCATGATCACTGTATTATATCCCAATTTGGTCGTAAGTTTCACCTGATCCAGAGGCTCTCCCTCATTATAACTACGCTTGGGAAAATGGTTTTATAAGCTTTCATCTATAATATTCTGAAAGCCTAAATTTTATTTAAAAATCTGCCTTTCTATATCTCTAAAATATTCTGGGACCCTCTGTGCATATTTCCTCAAGTCTCATTTGTGTACATATTCTTTCTGTAGCTTGACAGCTTGAGCTTTGCCTCTTAAACTGGATCTCTCCTTGTTAATTCCTCTTTCTTCACTCTCCCATCTTTCCTTCCTTTATTCCTTACTACCCTTCTTTCCTTCTCTTTCTATGATTACTTCTCTTAATTTTTCAGACTCTATTATCTAACAGTGAAATAGAAATACTGAATAATATTTATTATCTGTTATATTTTAATGGTTGATTATGTGCTCCATGGTTTTTTACAGATGCTTGAAGAACACTCTGTATTTCTATCAAAAATATATTAAACTATTGTTGCTTATATGTTATTCTCTACACTTCAGTTAAGTAGACTTTAATACTTAAGATGATTCTACACTCAGAGGTAAATAATGAGGAAAGAAGGCACACAAATTGTGAAAGTAAATAATATTATTGAATCAAATATTTGTGGCTCTTCATAATGCTGAACTATATACTACTTTATCAAAAAATGGTGCATAGGAAGGTGGGTGATGCTTCCCTAGCAATAACTTCCAGTATAGCATACTGTCAGTATAGCATACCGTCAAAAAGAAAAGATCAAAAGAGAGGTTTCCAATTGACTGTTAGATATATAATAAAAAGTCTACAAAGTCAAGAAGGATAAATGAAATGGCTTCTTGTCTGAAATCAAAGGTACTTATAGAGCATGCTTATTTCCACTAGCTAATTTATATTATCTAGAACAATAAGGAGTAGACTTTAAAATTAGTAAATCTGAGACCCAAGGTCTCAGTATAGCATTATAGCTGAGAGTCCACTGGGTTTCAAGACCTTCTCTGTTGAGACCTCGAATAATAACTTAGACTCTCGGGGCACCTGGGTGGCTCAGTGGGTTAAAGCCTCTGCCTTTGGCTCAGGTCATGATCCCAGGGTCCTGGGATTGAGCCCCACATCAGACTCTCTGCTTAGCAGGGAGATTGCTTCCTCCTCTCTCTCTTTCTCTCTGCCTGTCTCTCTGCCTACCTGTGATCTCTGTCTGTCAAATAAATAAATAAAATCTTAAAAAAAAAAACTTAGACTCTCTATGTCACAGTCTGTAAAATAATGGCCAATGATAGCACTTACCTTTTAGGATTGTTATAAGGATTAAATAAGTTAATATGTTTAGTTCATCTAAAGCACTGATCATTGTGCAAGGCATTGTGCAAGTTAAGTTCTAAGTATTCACAGCTATTACGTGAAACTGTGCAAATTGTCTAAACTGTCAGATGAGAAGATATAGGAATCTTTTTAAAAATAAATGACATAGTGATGGGGCACCTGGGTAGCTCAGTTGGTTAAGCATCTGGTTTCAGCTCAGGTCATGATCTCAAGGTTGTGGGACTGAGGCCCACATAGGGCTCCATGTTCAGTAGGTAGTCTACTTGAAATTCCCTCACTACCTCTCCATCTGCCCCTCTCCCCCTCCACTCACACATGTGCTCTCTCTTTAAAATAAATAAATAAATCTTTAAAAATAAATAAATGAATGACATAGTATATATAAATTAATTTGTGCAATGGCTAAGACTTTATTTTATAGTCATTTATTGGTAGCAGAAATATAAATGGCAATGAATGGAAAATGGTCACTAAAAGGAATGAGAAGAAAAGGGGAGAAGAGCCAGACTTGCTTTATTTTTCTCCTGTCATTCTTTTATCATTAATATAGAGATATGGATATCTTTTTAAATCTCTATAATAATTTTATATTATTATAGGAGATATATAAAACAAGGAAACAGGAAAAAGAAGAAAAAGTCATCATGAGAACATCTTGCCTCTCTTCTCCCATCCTTCTTCTATGCAAAGCCTCAGTTCTTCGCACATTCAATTTCTATTATGTGTTCTCTGAATCTTGCCTGGTCTCCATAAGTCTTCTACTCCCAAACATGTCAGAGCGTATCTAGGCTTAATTTCTAAGGATTAAAATATAGTATCTTCCAAAAATGCCCTGGCTGTCATGAATATTTTTATGGTTGGTTTCTACAGTTCGTGGTCAAAACTGAATAAGAAATTTTTCTTGCAAATAATACTTAATAATTTTTGCAAGTAATTCTTAAAATATATACATCCTAAAAATAAATATTCTCAATTTTTTTCTTCTGGCTTTTCTTTATTTTCTTTGCAATAAAACCACTGCTTAACCTAAATTTTTCTGACTCATAATTAATTTTGCAACTAGCAACCATGATCATCACAGGGAGTAGAACTATATGTCATCCAAGACCTTATAAAACATGCACCCCATGAAGATAGTTTCCCATCTTATGGCTCTAAATGACACATAATACTGAGGGAACAACTCATCTTCTCAAACTGGGCAACTAGTTAAGGTTATCTGTTGACATTTTTAAATGGAAAGTGGCATTTAAAAATATTTAAAATAGAAAAGAGAAAAGTTACACATATGCAGACATTCATATAAACTTGACCTTAATTATATATTATTTTCTTACATAGTTGGTGAAATTATATTTTCCCAAACTACCTCCATTTGGATATCAAGTAATAATGTATTATCTACATTTAAAGAAGATTAAAATAAACTACCAAACAAGAGAATGTTCCATAATAAAACCGAATGGTCTGTTTAGATCCTAAAACAACTGTCATGTAACTACATGTAGTATGTGTAGCAATTAAAACATATTTAGAATATTTTAAAACATACCTTTATCAGCTTTATTTCAACTGAATATAAGTATGTCTTTTGTAATGCATCACAACAGAGTCTGTATAAAACTGATTCCGCAACAAAAAATAAGGTAGGCAGATGATCATAATCAAAGGAAGCATGGTCCAGGGAAGCATAAAGCATATTTAAAGCTTCTGAAATATTAAAAAGGTAGAAACCATAATTTGAAGATCTTGCTTTTGTCTACATGTTACAATTAAGCCTTACAATTAACTATTTGTTGTCACCAAGACCAGACTGTGGTTTTAAAATATTAAAAAATTTAAATGTTTAATATTTATACATTCTTTGACACCCCTTCCATTAAGAAGTGAAATCTAAAAAAAGAAAAAAAGGTGAAATCTATACCCCTTTCCCCTTGAACCTGAGTAGGTCTTGTGACTGCTTTAACCAATAAAATGCTAGATGAGAAAAGGCAATAGAGCTGCCACTTGCATCTCTTTCTCAAGATACTAGCTTTGAAACACTTAGCTGCCACTTAGGAAGTCTAATAACTCAGAAGTCACTAAATTGGAGAGACTACAGAGCTAGAGATAGAAGAGAGAGAGAGAGAGATGCCCAAGGAGCTCTAGCTGTTCCAGCCAACACAAAATAGATCACAAGGCCATACAAATAATAATGGGGAAATGAGGCAGAACTGGGTGATAAAAGAAAGGTTGATATCCAGGATCTATAAAGAACTTCTCAAACTCAACACACACAAAACAGATAATCATATCAAAAAATGGGCAGAAGATATGAACAGACACTTCTCCAATGAAGACATACAAATGGCTATCAGACACATGAAAAAATGTTCATCATCACTAGCCATCAGGGAAATTCAAATTAAAACCACATTAAGATACCACCTTACACCAGTTAGAATGGCCAAAATTAGCAAGACAGGAAACAGCATGTGTTGGAGAGGATGTGGAGAAAGGGGAACCCTCTTACACTGTTGGTGGGAATGCAAGTTGGTGCAGCCACTTTGGAAAACAGTGTAGAGATTCCTCAAGAAAAAATAGAGCTTCCCTATGACCCTGCAATTGCACTACTGGGTATTTACCCCAAAGATACAGATGTAGTGAAAAGAAGGGCCATCTGTACCCCAGTGTTTATAGCAGCAATGGCCATGGTCGCCAAACTGTGGAAAGAACCAAGATGCCCTTCAACAGACGAATGGATAAGGAAGATGTGGTCCATATACTCTATGGATTATTATGCCTCCATCAGAAAGGATGAATACCCAACTTTTGTGTCAACATGGACGGGACTGGAAGAGATTATGCTGAATGAAATAAGTCAAGCAGAGAGAGTCAATTATCATATGGTTTCACTTATATGTGGAGCATAACAATTAACATGGAGGACATGGGGAGATGGAGAGGAGAAGGGAGTTGAGGGAAATTGGAAGGGGAGGTGAACCATGAGAGACTATGACTCTGAAAAATAACCTGGGGGTTTTGAAGGGGTGGGGGGTGGGAGGTTGGGGGAGCCAGGTGGTGGATATTATGGAGGGCATGTATTGCGTGGAGCACTGGGTGTGGTGCAAAAATAATGAATACTGTTACGCTGAAAAGAAATTAAAAAAAGAAAAGAAAGAAATGACAGCAAATGAACCTGCAAATATGAGAATTTGTCTGGACCAAGAGATTTTTGGAAAAATAATTGAATTTGAATCAGACATATTATCACTACTGGTACAGCTAACAGGAGGTAATTGAAAAGTTCCTCTAAGTTAAATTAACTCCTAAGACTATGATCTTTTTTTTTTAAATGTGGTTATTGGTTTTGTGTTTTTTTCCTTTCTTTCCTTCTTAATCATGACCTGTAGTGTTGTAAATCTGCCTCACAAAATACATCCTAATAACTTTCCTTTAAAAAAAAAATGAAAAATAAAAAGACTAAGCCTCCCCCATCAGTTTAAAAAAAAAAAAAAAAGATAGTGCTAAAGATAAGTCCTATAAAGAGAAGAGTGGAAAACCTCGAAAATCAAGGCAGAGGAAATAGGACCCCTCGGAGATGAATGAGAAAGAACACAGAGCTAAGGCCCTAGAGAAAACTAAAAAGAAGGGCTTCTGAAGGGCTGTCATGTAAATATCTGAAAAGAAGAGCAAATGCAGGGACCTGAGGAAGGAAAAGCCCTAACACATCCAAGGAATAGAAAGGAGATCAGTATGGCTGGAGCATAATGAATCGTAATGAATAAAAAGGGAAGGCAGCCAGGAATAAGATCATACAAAGCCTTGTAGTCAGGGCTTCTTTAAAGCGTAATCAGAAGGCACTAGAAAAGATTTAAGCTTTAGTATGATCACTGCTGCATGGAGAGTGAACTATAGAATGAGGAGCGGACAAGAGATTTGCAAGACACAGACGTGGAGGTTTTTCAGTTGTGGAACCGTTACTAAGAATTCATATTTAGGGTTTTTATTTGGAGTTCAATATCTTGAAGAATGAAAAAGCTTTTGGCTGTGTGTAACAGGAAATGCAAAGAAACGTCTTCAAAATAAGTATGTTTATTATTTCACAAGATCACAGATGGAAAGACTGTAGGGCTGGCTCATATACCTGCCCTCTGTAAGCATTTTTCTTTCATTTTCTAGTTCTTCTGACGTACATGGTAACAGGGATGACCACACAAGCTCCAGGCATCTTTCTCTTACCAAGCCATTTAGAAACACATCAAAAGGCATAGGGAGGGAAGAGGTGCTTTCTTCCCGGGTCTATCTTTTTCAAAAGCAATTCAACAAAAAGTACTTGAAATAGACCTGCTTTTATATTTCTGGTTAGGACCAGCTCCCGTGACCACTCCTAATCTAATCACTGGCAAGCAAATAGGAATATCCATGATTAGTTTAGATCACCCAAGACTCACTGCCCAGCCCTCCACCCCACCACCCACACTACACCCAGGCTGCAAGGTCCTGCCCTGTTCTGAATCACGTGACTGCAGGACACCTGAACAAAAAGGTTTAATGGGCAAAGAAAAACAAGTAGCTACTGGTTGTTGACATGCGAGGGGTGTTTACTTCAATATTGTTTAAACATTTAATAGAGGTCAGGCGGTGGATAGCACTGTGATCAGAATGCCATAAAGACAAGTTAAATACAGAATTGTTCTTACTCTTCCTGTTGCTTGAAACCTCCCAGTTAGCCCTACAAAACTCAGTTTACATGGAGAACTACTCTCTGACTTCATATGGTTAACATTCTAAAGCTCATTTTAAAAGGCATACACATAAAATTCAGGATAATGATTAAAGGAATTTTATCTCTTGAAAAACAATGTTTTTAAATTTCTTTTTTAGATTGGTTGGAGAGTGGTTTGGAAGGAGACATATAAATGAGAAGTGATAAATGAAAATGTAATGAGTAAAATGGCTGTTTAAAATAAGTGAAAAACAAAGGACCATTTGGCTAACGTTTTATGAGTAAGAATCATAAAATGCCAAAACAAGTTTCTCTAAAGTATAGTGCCTATTGTAATTGAAAATCACTTCAATGACATTTTATATTACTTTTTAATTAGTTACTAATTTTAGAAAAAAGCAATGAAGACTGTGCTGAACAAAAGTTTTTAAAAACAATTTTGTAATTAAAAAGTTGAGCAGTCAAATTCATAAATCCAAAATTACAAAAGGAGCTTTCATAGTGAAACATTACCAGATATTTCAATATAGAAAGGCGAATTTTCCTTGGCTCTTGCACAATTTCTAAATATTAAAGGTCACAAGTTATGCCTTTTCTGCTAATCTAGAAAACAATCAGGGTAACTAAGAAGAGCTTAGTAAGAGTACATACCATCTTGGATTTCTCCTTTGCACTGAGCTAGATATATTACTTCCGTCCATGCCGTAGGAAGATGCACATGCTTCCCAGAGCCTAAGGTTTTGAGACCCAATTTTCTCTGTTACGAGTAAGCATGAAAAGGCAAACCAAAATGTATAGCTTCTTACAAATTTATTTACTAGTTTACTTATTTTGATTATTCCTTAGTTATATTCTGAAAGTCACTCTATGAGGCTATGCTCTATAGCTAGTTTATATAAAACTTTGTATTTTTGTTTATATCAATTTTATTTTTTGATATTTTATGTAAATTGTATTGGTGCTAAAATGTAAAGGATGTTTGTTAATATTCTGAGTTATATCATTACTTATTTGCTAAAAATAATTCTCATTCTTTACTCTCAAGGGATTACTTCTACCTCATTATCCAACCCAGAAAATGCATCTCTGATTCTAGAAGGAAAAGTATATTGAATGTGATTCAACAGAAATTAGCTTCATGCCAATTTGCTGGAAAACTCTGGCTACTTCCCTGTGAATGGACTGAAATTAATGAACCTGAGACAGATACCAAGATTGCTACTCTTCCCTTAATGGGCCCACTCCTGGGGCTTCCCCAGGGAGCAGTTGGACAATTGGACAGAAGCTCACTGATGAATGTATCTACTAGCACCTCTCATACTTGCCAGAAGAATATTCTTTTTCTAATCAAATTTTCTCAAAATTGTAATGTATGTGAGCAACAGTGAAGTGGAATGCTGGGAAATAACCACTACCACAACAAAAAAGATGGCTTAATATATGCTCCAGTTCTGTGCAACTTTTATTTCATTAATTTTTTATATTATGTATATTGGTAATATGGTAGATATGTACCATATGTACATATACATATACCAAAATATATATGTATATGGTATATGTATATTTGGTAATATGTATATTACTTCTCTGCCTAACACAAACTGGATCTAATGTAAGAAGAGCAAAACAAGGATTTATTTCACTTCGTGTTCTGTTTTGATACATGTTTGAAAATTTGGAAGCTAATGCATACTGTTAAAGAATGTATTTTCTATAAGTTTGGTGAATAGTTATAGAGAGAGAACAGAGTATATCATGTATGTATTGTGAAGGTTTAGGGAAGCTTCCTTTCTTCTTTGGGACACATGATATCTCAGTCAACATTTTTTTTTTAAGGAAAAAGTGAAATTATCATAATCAAAAATTTATTTGCCAGCCTTTCATATTTTGTGGTGAGCTCCTGGACTAGTATCAACAGCTAGCTATATTCTTCAATAATTTGTGGAGAATCTTCACCTAAAAAGCCCTTTGACATTGAATTATCTGGTTATCAGCTTTAATTTTACTTTGCATTAATATCTTTAATGATACTTAATGACTTTAAAAAGTTCTTATTTTTACTTTTGATATTTTAGAACATGTAACCACCCACCAACTAGAACAGAAAGTCCATATATTAAATAATCAAATAGTGTACTATTACCTTACATCTGAGAATGGTTTTTCTAGCTAGGTCCAACAACTCTTCCTTCTCTTTTGGATTTCTTGCTTGGTTGAATCTCAAGATGAATTCTTTTGTGATTGAAAATGATGGACTAAACCAAAAAAAACAAATCAATAGTTATAGCTAATAGTTCCAAATTTTAATTAGTCAATTTCTAGGGGCTAAGCATAACTATTTTCTTTTGAAAAAGTACCTTACCTTAATAAAAATGTTTCATACACATACAGAGAAATCAGTAAGATATATATATATGTGTGTGTGTGTGTGTGTGTGTGTGTGTGTGTGTGTACAGGACTCCTAGATTTATCTAATCATACTCTTGGACTAAGAAACAATTCTCATGATGTAAAAGAATTTTGTAGCTTCTAAAAGAAAAGTTTCTGAAATGGTTGCTGGAAGTCTTGTTGGTATATGCCTTCTTCATAGGTAAAACCCAGCACAGCTCCAATTATGTTGAAGACTGACTTATCTCCTCTCATATAACAATGTTGGTTCAATTTAAGCTAAATTTTTATTCCCTTCATGCAAGTGAAATGCAACTGTGGCACCAGTAAAATGAGCAAAGGAGGAAAGATGTATGTGGCAAGGTCAGAGAGGTGACAAGCCATCAGATTAACTCTGGATGAGAAGTTATTGCAGGGTTTTGATAAGAGGAGTGGCATGATTTAGCTTAGGTTTTAATAGGCTCATTCCAATGTCTATTGAGATTTGAAGTGTGGAAAGGTGGGAGTAGCATGGAAGGAGGCACATGTATACTTAGGTGAGATGCAATAGTGGCTTAGATCAAGAAGATAGCAATGTCAATAAAAAGAAGAGATTGGATAATGGGTATGTTTTGACATTAGCTCTAATTAAGACTGCCCAAAGAATTAGAAATTAGGCATGAAAGAAAAAAGAAAGAAAGAAAGAAAAGAGTCATGATTGAACTGAATAACTGGAAATTAGGCATGAGAGAAAAGAAAGAAAGAAAAGAGTCATGATTGAACTGAATAACTGAGAAGGGGAAGATTGGTGGAGAAGATGATTTGGGGTGAGGGTAGAGAATAAGTTCAGTATTGGATATATTACATTTGAGATGACCATAGCCATCCTAGTAGAGACAGAGAATAGACAGATATATGAGTTTGAATTTCAGGGAGAAAAGTTCAGTCTAGATACATCAATTTTGGAGTCATTATTGAGTCATTAAAGACACATGTGGTATTTAAAGCCTTGCAAATAGAAAGGAACCCCTCTTTACAGAGAGAGTAAACAAATATTTCAAAGAGAAGTAGGAAAAATAAGTTGACAGTGTATGTAAGAGAAGGAGTAGAGTGATTATAATGATATACCACAGGATTTAAGATGGGCATGGGATCAAAAGTGATATCAGAGGGGCGCCTGGGTGGCTCAGTGGGTTAAAGCCACTGCCTTCGGCTCAGGTCATGATCTCAGGGTCCTGGGATCAAGCCCCACATCGGGCTCTCTGCTCAGTGGGGAGCCTGCTTCCCTTCCTCTCTCTCTGCCTGCCTCTCTGCCCACTTGTGATCTCTGTCTGTCATATAAATAAATAAAATCTTAAAAAAAAGTGATATCAGAGGAATGTGAATAAGTAGTAGAATCAACGAGTTGTTTATTTGTGTGGTCAAGTAACTGTTAGAGTCATGCTATCAGAACAAGCGGTCCAGAAGAATAAAACACATTTTTGTAACAACTTACTATATTCAGAATTTACTGAGTTAGTTGTTTTGTGGGATACAGGGAAAAAATACATGAATAAAAATCAGATTTTGCCCCTGCATAATTCACAGTCCTATTGAGGAGACAGATGTATGTAAAAGTAATGGTGCCTTAACGATCACAGAATAAGCAGAGATATTCACCGTCTCCTATTAGACTTTAAAGTGGGGATACAAGAATGAAATAAAAAAAAACCTGCCCTCATGGAGCTTGTAGTAAAACAGAGGAATAGTTGAGGTGTTAGCATGCACAAGCTTTGCTAAAACTGGGCATTTTGAAATTAGTAATTTCATTCTTGATTTCATGTTCTCTATCTCACTCTTGCCCATGGAGACATCTGCTTAGATAGATACAGTGTAGGCTAGCTGAAAACTCTTTCTTGATAGTCATCTGGGATGACATTACTTTGATGCTCATGAAGAGTCCAAAATAGCTTTAATCGTCCCATTTGTACAAAGTGCTATGGGAATTACAAGAAGATAAGGAATCTTTGAAAACAGGGAAAGTGAATGCCTTTCAGCTTTCTGTATAGATACTGAATCCCTTAATTGGTGTCCCATAGCTCATGTCAGTAAATATTTAGTGGGAAATAAATATAGCTATTTGAACCATGTCTAGCCCATCACAAAGAAATTGAGGTCGTTACACAAATTATCATATAATGATATACAAATAACACCTAAGAAGCAAAAAAGACACTTTAAAGAGTAAATATAGGCATTTGAATAGAAAATATACTTTGGCTTCCCACATTCGAATTTCTTCACACATTCTATTTTCTTCAAAAATAAATGTAATGTATTGTAAGTATATAAGTGCAGTCCTATGGAATAGATAGTAAATAAAGAACATCATTCTAATTTTACATATAGAGAAAATATACTTTATTTTAATAACCTACCTAAACTATTTATCAGAGCTTTTTTTTTGTTAGTTGACAACTCATTTGTTTAGTAAATATTTAAGAGAAGTCTCTTACACACAAGATATTTTGCTATATACAATGAGGGTGAGAGGAGAAATCAGATTCAACCTCAGAAAGTTCCCAATTTGGAAGGGAAATGAGATGCAACAACAACAAAAAAATGTACTAAAAAAAAAAAAAGAAATCCTGTAGGATTTAGAAGTAGAAATCATAATTCCAATGATTCCTAGACATATAATCTTTGCTTAATCACTTAATCTGTGTGAACTATCATTTTGCATATGTGGAAATGAGGAGAAAATCTTGTAGAATTCTGGGAAGTAACAAATCAGAACACAAAGTCTAGTTCCTGAATGACTGTTAGTTACAAGCAATACTGTTTTTGGTTAAAGGTTCAAAAAAAGCTTCTTTGCAGAAATGGCACTTGAGCCAGACCTTGAACAGTGAAGAACTGGAATGTGACAGAACAGCGACTGTCCTTTCAAAATTCTTTCTTGGCCTTTTCTTTGGCATATGATCACCTAGCTACTCTATATTTCCCAGTCTTTCTGGCTGCTAGATATGGGCACATGGCCAAGCCTGTGGGATATGAGCAAATGTAATATATGCAAATTTCAGGTCACCTCTAACTTAAAGACATACCATTTTCTCTAGAATGATGCTTTTTTCTCCTTCCTGTGAACTGGAACAAAGACACAGTGCTGAATCAGCTTTGATTAGGGAGATGAGTACAACACCCTATGAGATAATGAGGGTCCTGAGTTTCTCACTGACCCCAAAAGCAGAGCTGTCCTGTCAGCCTTGATCCATTGACCTTTTATGTCAGATAATACATTTCTATCTGATATAAGCCACTGAAATTAGAAGTTTCTTTCTATAGTTGTTTCAAATTTATCCTAACTAATACAAAAAGGACCAAAGAGAAGAAATAAGAAAAAATAAGAATTTTAACCCAGCATAGAGAGAATCCTTAAAATCAAGACAGAAAATGAAGATGGAAATTCTGGGTTGAGAACAAACATAAATGGCATTGAAGAGTAGTCTATGGCAGAGATTCATAGATGCCTACATCAGTGTTTATTCTCCTTTTTCTTATGAAAAGATTCTTTCTTGCAGTTAGGTGTACCTGTATGTCTATGTTTCAGCTAGTAAAGGTAAGTAAAATGTGCCTGTTCCATGCAAACAAGCAATTCTAGACTGAGATACCAAAGAACAGAATGAAGATAAAGAGCATGACCAAAAATACACATCTGCAGGGATATCAAAACTAAGGACAAAGAGATCATTAGACTTAATGCTTAGAAAGTCTGTGGACTTTCTTCGAGAGTGGTTTCACAGGATGCCCAGGTGGCTCAGTTGGCTAAGTGACCAATTTCAGCTAGGTCATGATCTCACGGTCATGAAATCAAGCCCTGTGTAGGGCTCCATGCTCAGTGCAGAGTTTGCTTCAGATTCTTTCTCACTCTCCCTCTACCCCTCCCTCCACTTGTGTTCTCTCTCACTCTCCCTCTCTCAAATAAATAAATAAATCTTTAAAAAAAGAGTAATTTCACTAGTGAATTACTAATACTGAGTTGAGTTTAGGGATAATAAAAATCTGTTATCTGAAAACATTCTGCAAAATACAAAGCTGTAAGGTCTTCATGATTAGTGCCTGTATTGGCCATGAATACTGTACAGTTTCAGATTCACTTGATTCCTGCCTGCATGATCTTTATGGCCCAAAGAGCTGTCCCTCCTCTTCTACATTTGGAGTAGTCATGTGCTGGATGACACAAACTGGAAGTATGGATGAGTTAGCACCTATGTAATGAATCTTGACCAAGGAAAATGCTAAACAAAAACAACAGATGAGATGAATAATCCTTCTCATTTCTCCATTGCATGGTCTACTATGAGATGTGGCTTCCTCCTGAAACCATGCCTTAATGAGTCCCATCATACCAAGTATGGACCTGTCTGCTATATTTCATTTTGCCAAGTTGTGATTTAGTGCTCCAGGTAGTAATGCATCAAGGTTTCCTGCCTCACTTTCCTTTTTTTTTTTTTAATCTTTAGTGCACTGACTTTGCATTTATTTGACCCCAAATAAATTATTAGAATTTTAATCCTCTTCTCATATTCTGCCTTCTAGAGACTTGGGCTAAGACAGTGGTATAAGCCCCATTATAAGAAGACTATGATTTCTATGATTTTGTAGGACTCTACATACTTTGAACAGATATTCTCACCAGTAACTACTGATCTCTCATCTGGGGTAATACATTCTAAAAGAAGCTACATTTAATTGCATGTGTTCATGCTCTTTATGGCCATCCCAATCCTAAGTCACCATATTTTTGGCTAAATCATCTGTAGCCATCCCCAAATGTGATAATATAGATGTCTCAGGCTAAAATTAACAGACCTGATTACAAGGTCTTAACCATTTAGAATTTCACTAAAGA